AATAATTTAAAATCAAATGATATCAGATTGGACTTTCATTTTATGTCCTATAATCTGTTAGAATTACAAATGTCAATAAGTATTTGGGTTAAATGACTGATAGTTTATCATAACAATATAAACAAAATTTTATATATAAAGTTTTTTTCCTGTATTCTTATAACTTTAGCCAGAATGTTTGTAAATTTCTTAATAATTATGTTTAATTTAATTCTAGAATCTTTGATCAAATATTAAATCTCTTTTAACTGATCTGTGATTAGTGAAACCTTGCAAGTGATGTTTATTCCTTGATGATTTTGTCAGTTTGAAAATTCCACAAGATTATATTATTTAGTTTAAAACTATGGTTATAACAATTTTAATATGCTGGATAATTCTAAAACGTTTGAATTATTTTCTCTTTCTAAAATAAATAGATTAAAGCAAAAAGTATTAGTACAGAATATATATGTATAAATATGGTAAAACCCTATTTTGTGGCTATTGGTGGTTCCAAGCAAAAGTGATGTTTATGAGTGGTTGTTATTTTTCAGGGGTTTTTAATTATATCAAATAATACACCCTACTAATGATATTAATATCATTGTACACACATTCTTCCACAACATAGGCTTTAACGCAGGAAATAAATAATATAGAAATGATAGCAAAGAAATATGGGTACACCGACCTGGTGCATAAGTTAAGTGAAAACTACAAACATAAGCAGAGGGTATTGACTAATCTAGAAGAAAGATATAATAAGGAAAATGCAGATAGCAAGATGATAGTTCCCGTCACATATAACCTGATTCTAAAATCAATATATACTGCCATTGCCAGGAAACGGGAGATCAAAGTAGCATATAGGAGATGTCGGACCATTTATAGCCTACTAAGGAATGGAAAAGATCGTCCAAACCTGAATAGATTACTGTGCATCTACAAAGTACCTATAATGGATGGCAGGTTGGATAGACAAATGGTTTATGTAGGTGCAACCAAGAGGTCTTTAGAAGTACGATTGAAAGAACATAAATCGGACATACTACAAAATAAGTATACAACAACCCTTTTGACATATGCAACAGACCCTGACATCACAGCCGAATTTGATGGCATGTATTGTTCTCACCACCCACATCAAGATCACCTCAAGATATTAGAAGCAATTGAAATGTTTAAAGCAGAATGCAAATCCACAAGCATTAATTATAAAGAAGAAATGTCACTTTCTACAGTGTGACAATTCCTAATGGATGATAACATTTGAATTTATTATATTATATTATATTTATTTATTTATTTATTCACATTTATAATCTTTTCAATTATAAACAGTTTGCATTTTGAATCGTATATTTGTCTAATGAAGTTTCATTGGATTTGGAATGCATGTGCATTAGGAATACATAAGTGAATACATTTGAAAGAAATTTGAAAGTTTAAGAACCAGCTTGCAACGGTTTTGAGTGAATGCCTGAAGAAGAGCCCAGAAGGACGCGTTGAAAACGTTTGCATTTTAAAAATGAATGTTGCTTTGGTTAATTGGTTACAAGTAAGAAGTTTTATATTCAACCCGGTGTGTTAGAAAGATTATCAGCACAAAACCTTTCTCACTAAATTTCTAGCCTTATTGACTGGAGTACAAACGTTTTTGGCCTTCTTAATAGGCCTTCCTCGGGTACACTGTGGAGCGTCAGTTAGAAGAAGTTTAAATGCTGCCAATGTTTACCCAGGTATCGTCTTACCAGTGACGTCATCGTCGATGATAGGTATACGATACCGAGGGNAGATGAGTTTTATAAAGAAAAAAGTATAATTGCTAATATTGAGTAAAATCATCATTAAGTCCGACTCCACTCCAGATATGACCCCTTCTATCTCCCCACTCCCTCAATCTTTAACCACTAAAATTTAATAGCATTTCCCCTAATGCACGATTTCCCTTTTTAGAAACTTTAGAAATTTTCGACAAAACACAGGAATTATTAAGCTTCAAACAGGGTGAACAAAATCGTGTTCCTCGCGCAAATTCGCATTCATACATACAGAAAAAGAACCACAATTTATTTTTATTTATTATTATTTTTTTTTGCATTTCTTGACGTTTCAAGGTCCCCTGGGTCCAAAAAATGTAAACATTTTGGAGGGATCAGTTTTTGAACGATCGCCATACTTTCCCTTATATATATATATATAACCCATTCAACGGGTATCCGTCCGGTCGCCGTCCGTCCGTCCCGTAACCGTTTGAAAACGGACACTAGAGGCGCCCCTATCGTGTATCATATTTCAAACATTCAAATTAACAATTTAAATTCTTATTTAAATTAACGATATAAATTTTTATTATTCATTTTGCCAATAAATTATTATTTGGTCAATATAACAATATAAATAATTCAGTATATTTGTAATAGGAATTTATTATTTCAGGGGCTTATATCTCTCGAAGGGTCGCAAGTAGGGGTATGACTCCTTTGACTTTATTGTTAATACAGGGGTGTACGGTTTGGGGGTTCACCACCTCTTCATTCGGAGAGTAAATCTTACCATTGGGACTTTAACGGAACTGTACAGCATATTGATAGGAACAAAAAAGTCAAAGGAACCGTGCCTCATGGAAATTTGTAAATAACGCCCACTAGAGGGCGTCCCGGGCTACTAGTTACCAATAAAAGGAAACAAAAAACTGAAATTAAGTACCAGAAAAATCTGAGATATCACAAAAAGATAAGAAAATGAAGGTATTGTTACAGACAGTTTTAGTAATTTTCTGTAATTTCTGCAATGTAATAACAGTAGATATAAATCATCAAAAATCTTGACCTGCATACAAAGAATTTGAAGCACCTATCAAATCAGGGTCTACCTTATGCCAAAACTTCATTGTGCCATCTCTTGAACAGAAAGCCAAACAATAAGATGCCAGAAAATGAAATTTTTACAAGCATGACCTCTATTTCTTCAAAAAGGCATACCTCTCCATAAGGTGAAGCATTCCACACTTAAACATTTATTCAAGAAATATGTAAAAACCCTGATGAAAGCATGTTAAGGAAAAATTGTTTCTCCTTTATATACCTCTGTAATTGAATGAATTAGTACTATAATTGTTGACAATCCCATATATTTCTTCCTGGATTAAATGAGAGATTCACAGTGTATCCTTTGATGGAAAGCCTGCTACTTCAGCATTACTGAAAATGTACAGTGTGTAGTGAACAAATAGTACTATAGTTAGCTGAGCATTTTTTGATATAAATACAGTGTCTTGAAGCCTACAGGCATAAAATATGATGACAGACCAAGCAGCATATATGCTTTTGTCTTTGCATTCATTAAGAATTTGTTTAGCAAATTGAAGAATATCACTTGCATTGCACATGAATTACATCATGGATGTGAAAGCATTCAGGTGGAATATGCTAACTGATTTGACATGGAAATGAGGATGGTACAGCTGAAGTCATCTTTTCATCAGAAAAATCTACAAGGATATCATTTTCAACTTACATGATTAAAACAAGATGAGCTACCTGGATTGATGTAGCCATGTTTTATGCTGAAAATTTTGATACTATCAAGTAAATATCTTGGAAATTTGGATTGATTAAATTCTGAAGCCATAACAAATGCCAAAAAACTTATTTAGAAGGAGGACACAATCTGTAAACTTTTCACTGTTCACATTTTCAAATTTCTGACACAACAAATAAAACATCTCAAAAAAAACTATTTGACTAAACAAGAGCAGAAATGTGAAGTGTGAAGTAGGCTGGAAGATGACTTTACCAAGCAAAAATTAAATAGTTCATCCAAAAATCCAGACTTAGAATATGTAGCAACAAATACATTGGACTCAGAATATGCTGTAAAAACAATATATACTCCATTGGCATTTATTGATGTTGACAAATCTTTCTCAACTTACAAAAACCACCAGCAAAGTTTCAGGTTTGATAACAGAAATGTTCTCAGGTATGCTAATTCAGAAAATAAAATGCCATTTTCTTGGGAAAGTTATGTTACTGGTAAAATTTCATTTATTTATTTTATTTATTAGTACAAAGAAATCCTGTATGTACAGGCATACAACATAATATTACAATTAACCAATTACAATTCCAACACAAAGCAAAGCAATGTTAATAATTCAGTGCAGGATAATAAGCTTATTAAAAAAATACTATTTATTTGTTTATTTCACAAATTAACAAATCATAAATACAGTCGCCCCCCTATAACATGGTAGATACATTCCTGTTTTTATGAAATCCATTTTCTACGAGTCCTTAAATACATGAGCCAATCACAGCCCAGCACGTATGCAGTTCACAAACTACAGCTGTTTGAAAGGTTTTCTTCCATAAAATTAATCGATTCTAGACTAATTCGACTCAACATTTCCAAAATACGTATAATTTTTGGGAATAATCCATATAAACTATGCTATAAACAAAAAATTGTAGGATTACTTACCAAGTGTGCATCATTCGATGACGCCATTGCTTAAGCTTGTTTTTGTCGTGGAGCGGTGCATCGAATGGCGCTCATATGCTTCCTGATAAATTATTTTTCTGCAAAAACTTTGCTGAACTTTGGAGACATCATTAATATAAATATAATTTTTATGGACATTAAATAATAAATGGTTTTTAGTAGGTCCTCTGCTCGTTTAAACTTAACGGTTTGTGCAATATCTGCTATTGGTCTAGATTCGACCAATTCTGTCGTGACATGAGTCCGCGATGACGTTTTACTAAATTATATAAGTCTCTTTTAGCGTGTTTATACGAATATGGTCACAATTTTTTTGCTGTTATATAGGAATCTGAACTATATGAACCCGTTTTATAGGGGGTCTATTGTACATATAAAATCAGAACCAATTTTTCACCATTTTAAGGGAAAATGTCCTACATTCCATCCACCAAATTAGTCAATTTTTTCACCAGAAAATCTGCAGCTTACTGATAATGTAAATCACATTAATATGAAGATTTATTTTATAGGATAATAATGAAAAGCAGACACAGTATGATCGTGTTGTTCGAGAAAAACGAGCAGCAGAAGAAGAATTAGAATTATTACGTAAAGAAGGTTTGCAGAGTAAACCACAAAACAGTTTACTGTTTGACGATCTTACTAAACGTCTTGCTACTGCAGAACAATCTCGAAATCAAGCTCAATTGAAAATTCAGTCTTTGGAGTCCAAAATAAAGAAAATGGAAACTTGGTAAAGAATCACAGTTTGTGTAAAATTTTATTGAGTTAGAGCAAATTTTTAGTTTTATACTTTATAGTAATTTATTTATCAAAATGAAACTAATTTTATTAAGCTTTATTTCAGTGATTATTGTAAGAGACTAATTCTATGATGATAATTTATTGTAATGAATTCTGTTTATAAAGTATTAAGTGTATGAAATGTTTTTATTAATTACTTAGAATCAATTTTTTATTATTTTTTATTTTATCATATATGGAATTTGCCTAAGATTTTAGGAAATAACATATTAAAATGAATTTTATTAAAAAAAGAAATTGAAAAGGATAAAAGACCTTATAAAAATAATTAGAGTTTTTTATTTAAAATAATTATATATGATATCAAGAAAGCATTAAGTATTTCAGTTGCAATAAAAGTAGTAATTATAGCCAAATAAATATTTTCAGGATATATTCTCACTTAATGATTTGATTTGATTTGCAAAATTCATTCAAGTGAAACTAAGACTTTACAATAATTAGAGAACAAACTGTGATTAATTTGTTAAATATAATACTTACCAGATTACCAAATATAATACCAGATTGTAGACACAATATTTGGTAATAGTAATAGTGCTGTGTAAACAAACACAAGCAGACATTACCTAATACTTGTTCTAAACATTTATGTAGAACAATGACTAGGTATGAAAGTTTTAGTTTGCAAAAATTATGTGACAATCAGAAATTATAGACAATTTCAATTATAAATTAAAAGAGAAATGTTTATAGCGTTATAACTATGGATTGATTCTTCATAGTTTCACTCCATCAGATATGCTTACCAATATCCAAACAAATAGAATAACTATTCCTTTTGTGGAGGTGGGATTATTATAGATATGAAGTATATTTGTGAATAACAGCATTGCAAAAGTTTTTTGAACTGAATTATCACTTAATTAAACCTTGCTCCACTACATTTCATTTGAATCAATTTATTAAACTGTTATTAATGTTAAATTCATTCTTCACCTTTATCAAATTCAGTCATCAGACAAAATTATATATAAAGTTACATCATAATGATATAGATATAGATTTCACTTATAGTTATACTACTATAAATAATGAGAAATATAAAAAATGATATATATATCATATATATAATGCTGGAGAAATAAGATGTAAATTTTTATTATATGAATACATATACAGTGGTACCTCAGGATACGAACATCCCAGCATACGAAATTTTTAGGATACGACATGAAATTCAAACATATTTTTGCTCCACGATATGAACAAAAACTCACCATACGACGTTACATTAGTTTGCAGCACCATTTTTTATTCACTTCTGTTCATTGTCTCAGTCCGCGTGTTTGCTTTGTCGTGGAAGGATCTCGCTCGATAAAAGAAATCTTGAGGTATTATCAGAAAGTGACTGATTTTATTGAAAAGAGACATCCCAAAAGGTTCACACTAGCTGTATTGCTGCTCAAAGTAATGACATTTGCCTAAGTAATTTTAGAAACATTTTAAATAGTAGGCAAAGCCAAACCTCTTTGGATAGATATTTTACCAAGCAACCTGTATCCAGTGGATGTGAAGGAAAGAAAGCAAAAAGCAGTGAATAAAAATTTAAAATATATATATATATAACAACACTATTTTTTTTAATCTTTTCTGAGTTATTTTTAAGCTGTTGTTACATTATGCTATGTAAGTTAAGTTTTTGTATCATTTCCCTTCTCCCTCTCTTCTGCCACCAGTTTACACCTCCACCGTCGTCTATCCTCAAAGGTAAAGTGAAAATAAAACTACATTATTTTTATCAATTATTATTCTATTATAGTTATTTATACATTTACAACTACAAAAACGCATTTTTCAGTGTTTTCCTTACTATAGTTATTTTTTTTAATGTACTACTTAGCTTTAATTTGAGTGTGTTTTTCGTGTTGGAATGAATTATTTGGTTTTACATGTAATCTTATGGGAAAAAATGATTCACCTTACGACATTTTCATGATACGATCTCAGTTTTGGAACGGATTAATTTCGTATCCTGAGGTACCACTGTATTTNTTACACTTTTAAATGTAATAGATGTATGTAGTAGAATAAAAAAAACTGAACTTTTAATTAAATTGCCTCAATGTCCTTTTTTCCTTATTAATATGTAAATTTTCGACTATAAATTTGACTATCTTCTATTATCAGGACTTATTATACTGGTTTTACAGATAATATTACAAAGATTAACAGAAAACAATTTTTATTTTATTTCATATACCTGGACACATACACAATTTTGCGTTTCGGAAAATTGTGTATGTATCCAGGTATACGAAATAAAATAAAAATTGTTTTCTGTTAATCTTTGTAATATTATCTGTAAAACCAGTATAATAAGTCCTGATAATAGAAGATAGTCAAATTTATAGTCGAAAATTTACATATTAATAAGGAAAAAAGGACATTGAGGCAATTTAATTAAAAGTTCAGTTTTTTTTATTCTACTACATACATCTATTACATTTAAAAGTGTAAATTATCTTTGGATATTCATTCTTCTGTACAGATATAGAAGACATTTCAGATTCAAAATATTCTTGAAATTATCATCAAAGTTTGTTTTGATAATATTTTGAATTTTGAAATATTACATACTGCTGCTGAGAATGAAAATGATTTCTTTATAATTCAAAAATATTTCTTTAATGATAAAATATAAAACGAATCTATTAATTTTGAATTAGTATGAAATAATCATATTTATTTTTTATTTACCCCTAACAGATTTATTTAACAGTATTGTATAAATTAAAAGCTTGATAATTTAGCTGATTAATTATTCTTGAAAGAATGGCATTATTAAGACATGAATATAATATTGTTTTTTCAAGAGTTTATAAGTTGATTCCTAAACAATTCTAATGAATAAATTGTTAAATTTATTATAGCCATCAACATGAAATGTCTTTATGCAGTAAAGAGAAATTAAGCCTGCATGAACGAGTTCAAGAATTGCAAGAAGAATTCAGTCAGATTTGCTTAGAGAAAGTAAAATTAACTGATGAAATTGAACAAATGAAACAACAAATAAAAGATACTGAAAAAAATGGACTACTTTTAGAGAAAAATGCTGAGAAAGAAGTCAGTATACATTTTTATTTGCTTCAATTTATAACATTTTAACATTAAAATATTAATAACTCAAATCATATTATTTATGGTATTGATTACAAAAGAGCATTAACCATCCTTAGTATTTAAATAACTAGATTTCTTAAGGCTATGTTTTTTAAATAAAATTTATAATTATTTTATGCTGTTGTTTTATATATTTAAAGAAATAAATGAAATTAGCTTAGTAAAATTTTTTTGATCTATGTATGAGGTTCAATACTATCTTGATGAAAAAGTTCAGTGAACAGAAAAAACATCTTTCAAATAAATATTCTATCCAATTGAATGAGATTTATTCATTTGCAAATGTACTTTTTTGGTTTTGAACTATGTATTATTTTTCTCTAGATAATATTTCTAATCCAGTTAATTTATAGACTAGACTCAGTCTGTACATTACAGAATTTGGCTTAAAAGTAGGTAATCTGTCATATTATGCCAAGATTAATAATTAAAAATTAATTTTGAAATTTAATTAAATAATTCAGAAAATACTCGAAGAAAAAAGTCAGAGGTCATAAAATCTTTTTAGACAGATACCCTTTGATAACCAACGAATTTCTATGTGCAATAGTAAATGATTGAAATCTTTGTTGTTTTTGTCACAAAGTTTTCGAAACAATCTATCATTGAGAGCATTGCTTCTGATCTTGTTAATTGCTGTAATTACGTACTGTAGTGAGAAATGAAGGCAATCACTAAGGTTTTTTTTGCAACCTAATGTCTGTGAATTACAAAATGCACAATGACTACATTTGGTACTACCTTTTTTAAATATGAAATCAACCTGCAGTATTGTCCAACCATTGCCAGAGCACCGTCGGTAGTAAAGGACATGATATTATCCAGAGGAATACCTTTTTCTTTAAAATAGTGTTCCAATACGTCAAATATAGATTTTCCTTTAGTATCCATTTCTAATTTTTTTTGCAAATAATAGTTCTTGACAAATTTTTCATATTTTATGAAGTGAACATATGTTTGGTAAAGTAGATTCATGAAGCTGTAAAGAAAACTCAGTAGTCTTCAAAACATCAGTTAGAGAATTCTCCATATCCTCAGACATTTTATCGATTCATCTCTTTACTGTATTATTGCTTAATTAATGGGATTTTCTTAAAATCATCAGATGGTTCTGTATACTGTGCAGTACAGTACATAGAACCTCACTCACAGCTGTCAGTATCAATTCTTCTCCAATGGTGTGCAGTTTTCTGATTTAGCAATAAGCAAGGAAATGTTGTAAGAGGCATGTAACCCATCATTGTCTTGTTTTGATGCTGCTGAAAACATACCAGCTAAAGTTGGACATCTTGAATGTTGTTTTTTGAGCATTTGAAAATAAGATAAATTTTTATCTTTTCTGTCAGAATGCATTTTGGTCAAATATTTTTCTAATCATGAAGGTTTCATGGCATTATTTGAGAAAACTCTCTGGCAAATCAGGCACATTGGTAATGTCTTGTTTAAGGGTGCCTGTATAAAAGCATATTTCAAATATTCGACATTATATTTTCTACATTTTTTCCGTGAATCTGACATGGGTCTATCTGTAAAATTAAAAACAATAAAAAAATCTCACAGGACCAATCATCACCATATTAAATAAATTTATTGTTATAATTTAATCATTTAAATTTTAAATTTAAATTTATGTAAGTTGTTTTATAGAATATTTTACAACAGAGAAATTTTTTGTAAAAAATTATTTAAATTATGTAAATTTAAGTTTTAAAAGATAGTTTTAAATTACGTTACTAACTTAGGTTGGAAAAACAATAATAAACAAATAATAATAGTAAATATGTACTTACTTACCTCTGTGATAAATAGTTATTGTAACAAAAATATATTTTTAATAAGTGGTCCATGTAAGCTATCCTTTGAATGTGATCTGTAGATACTGCATAGAAATTTTAGGTTCACACTTTCTCTGAAGGAACTTTGAAACAATCTCTTATGGATAAAAAGCCTCACATATTTATAGTAATGTTTAATGAACTTGTCAAAACATGCATAGATTTGATATTCTGCATGTGTGTTAATCTTGTCATGACATGTGCAAACTTGTAAATATAAGCTTTGTTGATTGAGACTGAACATACACACACACTGTAGTGCTCCATGTGGTGCATTGCGCATGCTGTGACTTGTTCATGTACTAGTCGAAAAGGTATTAGGAACAAAGCTATAATGTACCAATACCTACTTTTAATATCGACTGATTTTTCTTAAAAGACATTTAGAACTATTTGTTGAAGCATGTTTTCAATTATTTTTAGTATTAATCAAACTTTTCAGAGTATTCTTGCAAGTATTGCCCAGGGAAGTGACAGTTTGTCCTCAACACCCCGTACTTGGACTAAAAAAGCCCCCTTAGATCTCTTCAATGACCACTGGTAGGTGGTACTGACCCCATTGGGAATCACTGGTGTATACAAAAAGAAATGTCACAAAACAATTGATAGCTTCTGCCCGAAAATAACTATGCCAGTAACAAAAGATTAAAATACAAATAACAAAGAATAAAAATCAATGTACATGATAAAAATTATAAATAAATAGAAACAAAACATTATACAGGTAACCCCCGTATAACATGGCACTTCTATAGCACGGATTCACTCTAACACGGTTCGAGAATTGGTACCATCCCCCGTATAACACGGTACTTTTATAGCACGGATTTACTTTGACACGGTTTGAGAATTGGGTAAAACCCTCGTACAACAGGAAATGTAATAAATTTTTACATACTTAAGTAATAATAGTTCACGAAAATAATAATTTTCGTGAACTATTAGTACTTAAGTATGTAAATTTTCTCTTTTCGCCTTCTGTTGATACACGTAGTCCTTCTCGAAACTTGTTTCAATGTTGCCAGATCGCGACGCTTCTGCTTCTGATGTTGCCGAATGTTTTTCCCTTATTCCATACTTGCTTTATTCTTCATAAGTGCTTAGCACCATATAAGGAAATTTATAAAGACCTTTTAACTAGAAGCAAGCAATCTAAAATTACATACATTTTGCAAAAGGTAAAGCATGGATCTGAAGATAATGCAGAAAAATGCTCAGAGGATAAGGATAACTTGCCAAAAAGAAAACGCTCTCGGTTAATTAATAGTGTTTTTAGTGATGACGAAGAAAACATTGTTTAATTTATATTAATATGTATCACTTAAAAAAATTTTAATGAAGATATTTATCTTAATTATGAAAATATACTAGCATGTTTTTTAATTTTTGGAACCTAACCCTCCTTTTCGTATTAGTTCTTTGTTTTGTATAACACGGATTCGCATAACACGGCAATTTTTTGGAACGTAACTACCGTGTTATACGGGGGTTACCTGTATATTATAAAGTAACCATTTACAAATGTGTTTAAAATATAGAAAATCTTCATGTAAAGATTGTTCTACACAGCCCATATTTTGAATAGACGATAGAAAAATGATCTGAAAAAAATGGAAAGCCTAAAAGATGGGGTAAAAAGAAAAACAAGTTTGGTTATGAGTAACTCATGGCAGAAATCTTAGGTACAGTCAATCAGAACGAATGGAGAACCATAGAAGTATTTGTAGTTCAGTAAACTATTTGATACGTTCAGTAAAGCTGGGAATTCCCATTTTGGACCTAGCAACATTAGCATTAGGGGTAAAAAGAAAGTTAGAGAGTTTATTTAGAATAAGAAATATTTTATCTAATTTACTAAATATTTTTTGTAAATGGGAAGAGGCAGCCATAGTCCGTATTGACAGACAATAATTGAGTAGTGACTGAATATTGGCAAAATAAATGGATCATAAGACTGTCGTAAGATTACCAACCTCATGACACTAGGATATTCTATTTCCATCCAATACAAAAAGTTTGGTTATTTTTTGAACTGACTATGTAATTATTTCATTGATTATTTGTGAAACAAAAATATATTTTAACAAAATGATGATAAATTTTATACTTAATTATTATTTTTAACTAATATTTACTTTTTGTGGAACAGTGCATTCTAGAATTATTTTGAATAATTAAAGAAATGGTAATAATTTTATTACAAATTGTAAACATCTGAAATTTTTAACAACGTTTGTTAAAAAATGTTCATTGTGAAATGTGATTTATACTTAACTGTATTTTAATAATAGGAAACAGTTACAAAATATATAAACACTTATTTGGCAATAAGTTAAAAACAACATTGACCATTGGAATTGAGAGAATTCAATACATGAGCTTTGGTAAGTGATAGACTATTTAGTTTGGTCACAAACATGCAATAATTTAAACAGTTCTCATGATTTATTTTTTCCAGTAAATAAAAAAAAAACATATCATAATTATACTATCTGTTAATGCAGAGCTTTAAAACCAGTGTGCCAAGGCACAATGCCTCCAAGAGGAGGAAAAGCATATAGTTTATGGTGGACATGTGAATATGATAATTGAAGTTTAGACTGTTTACAAAAAATATCAAATTGTGAATATGATAAATGCATGTTGACTCAAAAGGGACAATGATTTGCCTATTACATACAAGGAATTATAGCAAGCTTCAAACTTTTACACCTTTGCAATCATATATTTCCCAGAATATGGCATGCATTTACTTACAAACTTGTCTTTTAGACAGTGAGCATCATATTTTACAGTATCTGTGTGTATTTATAATCATGGACTCAAGACACCAATCGTACTTTTCATGCTAGACTATGTGATACTTCATCTAGGATGATTTTTGGTTGTTAAGAAATAAAAATTGAAATAAGAAAATTGATTATAAACTAATTTCAAACATTTTTATATTATCACAAGTAAGAAAACAATAAATCAATATTTTTTTGATTAGTACTTTGTAACTCTTATATTTTTTGTTTATTTTTACTTGTGATGTGCAAGAGAATTCTGGGAAATGTTCACGTATGTCATGCATGAGAAAAGATTGTGAAGCACTGTTAATGTGTTATATGATGTGAATAGTTTACATATTTTTCTAAATTGTAAATAGGTTAATTTTTTTTGTGTAATGTGAATATATATTTATTAATATGACATTCATTTATGTAGATTAAAACATTGAAGAAAAAACTGCAGCAACAACAAGAAGAATGGCAATATCAATTAAGAAGTTTAGAAGAAAGATTTCAAACATCAGCTTTTGAATTACAAAAATTGTTGGATGCACAGAAGAAAATGAGTGAAAAGTAAATAAATTTATTTAGTTTTTTAAAACATATAAGTATATATATAATAGCAAAAATAACAGTTATAATGTATAACATATAAATAGTTTTTTTATGTAAAATTGCTCTGACTAAACTTTACAATGATCCATAAGCAGAAACATAAAATAAAAATTAGAATCTAGACTTGATCCTTGACTGTTAAACAAAGACAAACATTCAAAAAAATTAAAAAAGATTATAGCACCACTAATATTTAACTGATAGACTTTTAAAAAGTCATGGTTTTTGTGAATACGTGTAATATTTATTTATCCTGACTGATCACTGAAACTTTCAACAAATATCCAATAATTATAATTTCATAAATTGACAAAAATAATAGCTCATGCTCTCATATTTTGTTGATTTAAACTTTATTACAAAAATAACAAATTTTATCTGTACTGCTGTTTTGAGCTAAATAATTGTGTTAAAAGTTTTTGAAAGCATGTTTAAAACTGAATTATTAGCTTTATGAATGATTTTCTGAAAATTCTGTTAATAGAAATTAGATACAACAAAACTATATGATATCTTTATCTGTTTTGTTTGCTTCTGGGTTGCTGTCTCTCAACTTCTTCCTCTGTTTTATTACTCCAAGTCTCCATATGTAACCATTTGTGTGCACAAAGGTATTTGGATCAGTTTGCCATGAAAATTTAATTCACTATTTTAGAAAAAGGCAATAGATAATATGGATGAATTTTATAGTAAGTCTCTGTTGGAAACAGAAAAGACATTTTTGGAATTTTTTTTAATTAAAATGAAAAATGTATTTACTCATTTTTACTTTCAACTTTTATGATGATGAAACTAAAAATTTTTAAGCTATATCTATACATATGAACATAACATCTGGAATGACACTGCCCTCAAAGACACTATTAATAATAATTACAATCAACTGGTGAGAAACCTAAATTTCATTTTAATGTCAGAAAGACAAAAAAAGATATGTTTCTATATTCGAAAATACACAAGTACAACAGTTAAAAATATTTATGGCACTTGATTATAAATTTTGAAAATTATAAAGAAAGCATACTTAGGAATATACTTATCTAGTATTATTAGAATTACTAGTATTTATTACTAGAATCTAGTATTAGATAGGACAAAAGTTCAAATGAAGTATTGGAGATGGCCAGTAAAAGACTTTATTTACTAAGAGTTCAAGTATAGATAAAAGTGAGATTCCTAATTTATATTCAGAAACATAACATAATATATGAGGCATTGATAAATATGAGTTATATATATTTTGTAAGATAACTACAAAACAGGAGAGAGTAAAGAAGAACTATTGATGCTTAAGATAGTATACTATAATACTATCATACATAACAGTTATTAAAAGAATTTGAAATTCAAAATTAAATTTTACCACAGCTGTTCTGACAAATTTTCTTTTAACAAAATGAACTATTCTAATTAAAACTTGGGTCATGTTAATGGCAATAAAGGGAAAATATTTTAAATGTATTCTCAAATAAAGATTAAGTATTTTATCAAACCAGTAAAAAACTATTAGGAAGAAATTCATAATTTGTTCAATTTTACAAATATAGATATTTAAAACGTCCATCTTAGCATAATCCTATACTCCAGTATAGGATTATGCTAAAATCTTATTATAACTAAGTACTTTTACAATTCAATATTTTATATTTATAATTTCCAGAAATGTTTTTCATAAAATTTAAAATTATTAAAACAAATTTATATTTAAAACATTTTAAATTAGATGGAAAGCTGAAGCTAAAGGACTTGCAGATAAATTAGAAAAAGAGACAAAAGAGATGTATCTTGAAACACTTAATCTTCAGCAAACTAATGAGAAGCTATATTTAGAGTTAGAAAACTCACAGATACGAATTGCCCAGGTAAATTAAATATATAATATAATCTTAATTGTTTTTATAAATATGAATTAATTATTTAAATTAAGAAACATCAATAAAAAAATTCTTAAAATTAATAGTGTTTTTTTATATTTCATATATGTATTTTGATGATAGACTACAAAAATCTTTTGATAATATACAATGATACTGTATAAATATAAATATAGATTTGATGGAATATATGTCTTACAAATTTTCCATATTTCTTAAGTTAAAAAATTTCATAAGGCAAGTAACTTTTCAAGTAAAATATTTTCTGTTTCACTAGCTCTTTTATTAAAGGGTTCACTAGCTCTTTTATTAAAGAGCTAGTGAACCAGAAAATATTAGCTCTAAATAACAAAAATTGTTTATTGATATTTTAATTTTTATTTATATGTAATGAACAAAGTTATGTAATTGTGCTGCCCTATTGTTAAGCTAGATTTCATTCACAACCTGTTAAGAAAATGAAGATAGGAAGGAATAAATAATAATCCATTTGATTATTATTCCCTAAAAACAATTAATTCTTCATCTATTTTTTAAAAAATCCATTTTATATCATAAGATTTATTAAAGTTTATATTTTAGTAAATTTTATTAAATTTTGTATATACTGTATCCATTAATTACTTACTGAAATGTTTATTCTTCAAGTAAATTCTACATATAGCACGTTTAAAGCAACATTTTTTGTATAATAGTGATACCAGTTTCAAGTGGATTTTTGTCATTGTCATAAACTTCTTAAAACCAGTCAGAGTTTATTTATATATTAATTCACTGTACTTGATTCAATAGTGATTTTATTTCCAGACTTATTACAAGGAATTAGGATTTAACTCTGAACAATTGAAATTTTATAATTGTCACTCCAACTGAGCAGAGGTATATGCCTAAAATGCATATTGGAGAAACACAAGCTAATAATGTAAAGGAGTATAAAAATAACCCTGTCCCTAGTGTAATAAGTGGAAATAAAGTTACTATTGAATCAAGTGTAGTGAATTAATAAATGAAAAACTTAACCAGACAAAAGCAATATTAAAAGTATATTTAATTAACTTAATATTTTATAATACTGAATCAGCATAAAACCTATTCAGTTTAGAAATACTTTAGTAATGTAAGTTTTTATTAACAGAGAAAAAATATATTAGCAAGGTTGTGCCAAAGTTTTCAATGCAAAAATGTGAACGCTGGATGTTCAGCGCTGCCATCCTGTAAGCCTACAAGTTTGACAATGGTGTTTGGAACATCAAGCATGATTCCACTGATGTTCCAAATGCCATTGTCAAACTTCTAAACTTACAGAATGGCAGCGCTGAACATCCAACATTCATGTTTTTGCATTGAAAACTTCAGCCGCAACCTCACTATTCTTTTTTTCCATATACTGTATATTAATTTTATATAAAATAGAATATTAAAATAAAGAAAATATTTGATTCTAATGGTCATTATGTTAAAAAAAGAAAATTTTTTATTACAAAACTAATATATATTCAATAACATTAAACAATATATAATTTATTTCAATGATAAGAAAATATATATGAATGATGAATTAGATATTTCACTCTGCAGTTAATTTTTTCTATTTTAAAATAGATTATCTTTGAAAGATTCAAAAACATTTGTTATTAATAAAACTTTTTGTGCTGTTCACAACATCTTAATGTTGTGAAAGTACTTAAAATCTCAATAATTTTTAATGTAAATTAGGTAATTATTTAGTCAAGACTCAGAAATCCACTGGTAAGTGAAGCCTTGTTCTGAATGCATTCATAATTTGCTAGTGGTGTTAAATAAATGTAAAGGAAAGGATGTTTTTATATAATTTTTTTAAATGTGGTTTCTTATTTATAACATTTCTATAAAATATTTGGTCTTTAAATATGTGTTTAAAATAAATCCAATGACATTATTGGACATAGCTAGGTTTCTGGAGTCTTAATAAATTGTTTTATGTAAAATATTGATTTGTGTCTTCATTATTTCAGAGTGAACAACAATTGGCTGAATACAAAGCTAAAATTTTAAATTTACAACAACAGATGAAGAATCTACAATCACTTTAACATTTTACATAAAGTATATTTTTTATACATAAAAAGAAACTTTTATTAGAAAATATGTATTTATTTATTAACTTTGTATACAAANTTACAAAACTAATATATATTCAATAACATTAAACAATATATAATTTATTACAATGATAAGAAAATATATATGAATGATGAATTAGATATTTCACTCTGCAGTTAATTTTTTCTATTTTAAAATAGATTATCTTTGAAAGATTCAAAAACATTTGTTATTAATAAAACTTTTTGTGCTGTTCACAACATCTTAATGTTGTGAAAGTACTTAAAATCTCAATAATTTTTAATGTAAATTAGGTAATTATTTAGTCAAGACTCAGAAATCCACTGGTAAGTGAAGCCTTGTTCTGAATGCATTCATAATTTGCTAGTGGTGTTAAATAAATGTAAAGGAAAGGATGTTTTTATATAATTTTTTTAAATGTGGTTTCTTATTTATAACATTTCTATAAAATATTTGGTCTTTAAATATGTGTTTAAAATAAATCCAATGACATTATTGGACATAGCTAGGTTTCTGGAGTCTTAATAAATTGTTTTATGTAAAATATTGATTTGTGTCTTCATTATTTCAGAGTGAACAACAATTGGCTGAATACAAAGCTAAAATTTTAAATTTACAACAACAGATGAAGAATCTACAATCACTTTAACATTTTACATAAAGTATATTTTTTATACATAAAAAGAAACTTTTATTAGAAAATATGTATTTATTTATTAACTTTGTATACATACATAGTTTATATTTTTATACTTATTGTAATAAAACATATTTATATGATCAATATCACAGTTTAATGTAAATTCAATTTTTATAATGTAACTAGCTTACCCGTCGCGCATTGCTGCGATCTCAGAAGAAAGGAAATTCAAGCAAACTTGTTATGATAACATTCAATTTACATTTTATTATTTTTATTGAAACTTATTATTATTATTCATTTTCATCGGGAAAATATTTCAAAGTGTCGTTTCAATTCTATTTATTTATTGGAGTGNGACATACAAACACAATAAAAACTCGTTGCTATCAAATTTACATAAGAAAACACCAAAAAATTTTAAAAGGACATACCAAAGTTGGAATTTTTTCTAGTCTTCTACTTAATTTTTCTTTGTAATCATTGCCCACTACAGAGTTATTTTATATAAAATCTAATAGTTGTAGTATTAACTACTTTTGAATGCTAGAAAGTATAATACTTGAAATCAAATACTTACATATTACTTTATTAGATTGCATTCCACGTGCATAGCATTTACTCATCCGACAGAAGTCACATGTTTTGATGTCTGCTCGTTTGACTTCGCACGTCTCTTTACTGTCGCATAAGGGATAGAACGAATGTTTCACAGTTGCCTCGAAGAAACTATTACACGGATGACAAACGGACAGACCAAATTTATTTCCTAACAAGTTAACTTTGTGACAAATTGGGCAAATAGCTATTACTAAAAATAATTAAATATTATAGACTTTAACATTACTTCTTAACATCAAAAAGTACTGTACATACCAAATGTATTGTTGTGAGTTAATTCACAATAAGAGCATATACAGTTTTCACACTCCGCCATCTGAAAATTATGTCTAAAGCACAATACTTCAAAGCATTTCTAAGTATTTTTGTAAAAAAAAAATAAAAATTATTGTCATTAAATTGATTAAATACAGAAGCTTCAATGAGGGTAATTCACAGAGCAATAGGCACTAATGAGATTATAATTTCATTATTTTATATTAAATCGTTTAATTTAATTTAATAATATTATATATTCCTATTTTAAAATAAAAAGAAATTTATTTTAGATGATTTTCTTTATAATTTTCTTCATTGATTTGCATAAATAGACGTTTTAAATGATGCTCTTCAGATTTCATCGAATTAAAATTATATATAGCTATAAAATATAACTGCTTTAAATAGGAAATTTATTTATTTAAAATAATAATATTACTCACTTTCAGCTTTTACAATAAATATCAGCATTGTAACTGAAGTACTTCTTCACGACACTTCAGCACTGATATTATTACTTTGACGCCATTATATCTCGAAAACAAAGTCATGGTCCTCAATTTTTATTAACGTTTTGAATTTCTCGTGAAAATTAATGGAAAATGGTAAAGTTTAATCAAAATTGACCAGTCAGATTTCGAGAATAAATATAATTCTGTAAACCACATGGAAGAGATTCCGTTTCAAATATAATTCAACCAATTTCTAAGTCTTCAATTAATTGCAAAATCGATAATATGGGAAATTAATGTACAAAATCACTAACATACACTACTTATATTAACGTGAAGATAAAGCAATAACTTTTGTAATTATGGGGAACTTATTCACTCTTCAGCTATTCCTAGAATACATGTAATAATTTTTATTATACGTGTGAGGTTCCGAAAAAAATTGAAATTAAACAGTTATTATAATAATTTGGTAAAACGAAACTAGAAAATCGTCCATTGTTAAAAACCGATCAAAGATCGAATTAGTTGTGTTAGTCATATGAAACCGCGACGAGAGAAAAAAAAGCTAATTATTGTAAACGATCGACCTCCAGTAGAGATGGACCTTTGAAAAGTCGCTCATATGCAAATAATTAGAACATAGAAATTTTGAAAAGACGAAAGATTAATGACGAAAAAGGACATCGCGTCGTGTCGTAAAATTTCAAAAACGTCACAGACTAGACAACAATGGTGGAAAATATGAGCGCAAGTTTCAAAGTTCCATCAACATTTTGCATCCAGAGTAACGGATGGTGTNGTTTCATCGTCATTTATTCTAAGTATTTATTAAGTTATAAACATAATAAATACTTAGAATAAATAGAAGAAATAGTGAATAAAAATCATAAAATTAATTGTATAACTGTAATTCTAAAAATTAAAAATTCAGAAAATAGTCTGAGCAAAAAGCACTCTATCAGCACCAACTTTGAGGGATTTACGATATAGACAGTTAACAATTTAAAAACACTGATATAACCTAGTATCATTATCATTGATGAGGCCTGATAATACTGGTGAAAATGTATTTGGATAAAGGAGAAAACGTACAATAAACATTTTTTTACAGTTGACAAAGCTATCCCAACATGCATCAACAGACATTCTTGTATTCAAATTTGTTATTTACATATTTCTTAATATGTTAATATTTTTAATAATATGCTATAATGTTCTTTTATGTGACATTTAACAATATTACTTTCTTTACACAGAATTTTAATATTATTTTTATCAATTTTACAATTAAAAATACTGCAATGTTGATACCATGGAAATTCTCTGTAGTTTAGATGCATAGCCACTTCCTCTTCTGTAAGTTTCTTCTCTAGTTTACGCTTGGTTTCTTCTATATAACATTTAGGATGAGGACACATGCATGACAGTTTGTATACAACCACTGCGAATTTAGTTGCTGATCTTGTTCCTTTTTCCTCTTTATTAAGGATAAAACTCATTACATTAGATAACCTATTTTTGAGAGGCTATAGTATGAACAGAAACATCGTTAAATTGACTTTTGTATTTTTCATATAAACAGTTTATATATGGGAAAAGAACATACCAACAATTTGTTTTTTTATTTTTTACTTTATATCTGTTAATCGTATAATTATTGTACCACTTACTTAAAGTTTTTTCGGATATCCGAAAATATTTATTAAACGGAATTAACCATTTAATAAATATTTTCTTACAACACTTAAATATAGCTATACATATTTTGGTAATTTATCTGAAATCCAAGAACAAAATCTCCTGACTTTTAATCTCCTCTCTAATCTGTTCCCAGCTTTTTTTGGCTCAAGTTTAATCTCTCTTTAGCTCATTCATAAACACAATATCAGTTGTGAATAACATATATCATAGCTCCTTTCTCACTGCAAACTATAATAATTCACCTAATATTAATAAATAAATAAAAAGATATGGGCTTAACGTTGATAAACTCCAAAGCCACTCTAAATCCTAAATTTTTTTTTAACACTTTAAATCTATTCTATCTTAACACCTGGTTTAACATTTCTATACATTTCCATAATTAAGTGTATATAATTATCATTCCCATTTCTTCCTGATTCAGAGAGTTCGTGGGAATATCAAAGACATCCCATATTAATAATGTACGTATATACAGGCTTAACTATAAATTTTTTGACTACGTTTTCTTGCCCTTAACGAAAACTCCCAAAATATTTTAAAATGCACACAAATTGTAAGCAAAACACAAACAGTCTAATCAATTTAAAGTCTAAAATCGTGAAAGTGACAGTTAATATAAATATTAACGACATTTTTGAATAAATAATCTTCAAAATCGAATTAAAATAGTACTGTATTTATAAGCAGTCCTTTAAAAAAGACAAAAGAAATATATGAATTAAAAACGAGAAAATTTCATATATTAAAAGAATTTCGAATGTTTACAGCTGACTCTCCCCATGCTCAAGCCAAACTTACGCCTAGACGCGATCGAAGCGTTCGAAGTGGCAGAAATTTTTATTACGCCAGTATCGTAACATTACAGCTATTGGCAGGGCAAGGACCAGTATATCTATCGACTCTGCTTTTACACACACTTTGGCTCTAACACCGTTGGAAAATTGTAGTTGTCCCCGTACAAAACTACTTCCGGTTTGGCTCTAATGCGGTTTTGGAAATTCTCCATATAAAATTTCATAATTTTTAAAGGTAAACTTCGTTATTCGATTTTTTTTTTATTCGAGAAAGCATGCGCGACGTCTCAAGTTTGCCGGTAGATTTTAGAATATTGAAATTTTCAAATTATTTTGTGCCTTTTCGCGGGTTTACTTTGACGAAAACCGATAGGAAGAGGAAGAAGAAAATTGCACTAACTTTCCTATCAACCGAATGTCGTCGTCGTCGTTGCTTTCAGACTTTAGCCCTTAAGACCTTGTTTTGTTTGTATAGATTAACCTTCGTATTTAGTAAAGTTTATTTAAACAATTTTATATAAGCGGTATTAAACTTTTCTTTTTAACCGTAGGTAAGCAATCATTTGTAAAATGACGAACGAAATACTCGAATAATTCGGTATTCGAACACAAATTCTGGAAAAAAGTCGCTGGGTACTCGACCGAACAAACACCCGCTAGAACAAATCGATTAATAACACATTTTAATTTCGTCATCCAAACAAATTGCTTATGATTAAAATAAAGAAAAATGAAGACGCTGCAAATATTTCTGATCGGGATGACGACGACACTTTGTAAAATGAAAAAGACCGCGGTTTAACCGAAATTAATACTAAACTTAATACGGTACTTTTTATTGTGATTGTTAATTAATTATCAATGGCTTTAATAAACATATTTCTCTTAGTAACGGAAAAGAATTGTATACTTTTGTTAACTTATAGAACCTAATCCTATGTCTTGCATTAGTCCATTGTTTTGTATGGCACTTTTTTGGAACGTAACTGCCGTGTTATACGAGGGGAATCGTATTTGTGACTGAACCCACAGATAACGGGCGTACCTGGGTCTGGTTCCCAGAGGACCGTACGAAGTAAGGTAAGTGGGGATCCCGGTAAAAATGCGCCTTAATTGGAAAGGCGTGGTTTTATTCCGTCCTATAAAAGCTTTCCTTGGGAATTTTCTCGGTCTAAAGCGGAAGTGGAACTACTTACGGATTCCATGGAAAAAAGTCGGTCGCCATTTGCGCAATTCACCCGGGAAACGTCTTACCCAGTGACAATTTCTCTTATCCGTCGGATGTTCGACGGAAATCCGTGGGAAAGTGCCGAGTGCGCCGGCGGTATTTAAGGGGAGGACGGGCGCCGCCACCGATGTTAAACGGCCTCATGACCGGGTCCAAGTTCGTGGGTTTGCTCGCCCTCTCCGTCCTCTGGCCGTGCCGGAAGATAAGACCACTCCCATTGGCTTTCCGGCGAATTTTATATGAAAATTTGGCTAGAAACGTCGTCGGCCGGGAATCCTTAGAAAAAGGACGGGCCTTGGGCCTTCTTCCACTAATACTTTGGGAAGGCCTCTTGAGAAGACGTTTCGGTCGGCGCGCTGGGTTTTTCCGCAATTCCAATTAATTCCCGTTAAACGGAACTTCCCTTTCTTTACCTTTTGAAGCTTTCCTTGTTTATAAAACGGAGCTATAATTGGCGAAATTCTCGATATTTTAATAGACTAACGGACCGCCTGGCGCGATTTATTACATAATACTACAGACGTATAAAATGGATCGTCTCCCGGCTGATTAATTATTTTTATTTTCGGAAAAAAATACGATATTTATAAATGAAATAATATTTCGATAAATATCGTTTCGCGTCGCATCATCGACGAAATTTGATTACGATTATGGCTATTTCGAAAGGCGGAGGCAATAATTAGTATTATATAATAAAAATGTGACATAAAAGTTAACGACTCGGTATTTTTAGTGGCGGGAGTTTGCATGTCGACTTGCCATCTCGATCTCAGACAGGAAGAAAACAACTACAACTGTCCGGAAGCAGAGATGTGCTCTACTATTGATGTAATGTAGTCCCAGCCGGAAAAAAAGTCCGGTTTATTTCTTAATTTTTCTCGTTTTATAAAAATTTACCGCGTGTTTAAAATGTTCGGGACTTTTAGCCAAGACTTTTTCGCCGGTCGATCGAATATTTGTACAGGAATCGAATTTTCCGATTTTCGGGGTGGTTTCCTCGTCTCCAAACGTTTAAACTTTAAAGTAATTCCGAATATCTCCTCGGAAGTATATTTAAATAAACCATATTTAATTATACAGTATAAGGTTAGTGGGATAGTGTTGAAAGATTTCTGCACGATTGATTTATGAGGCCCCAGGCGCGCGCCTCGTGCTCCTCGGGCCTCATAAATCAAGAGGACTTGAAAATTCAAAATTCAGCTCTCAAAATATAAAATAAATTATTTTATTTGATTATTTTTAATTCAATATAATAAAAATAAGTAATTATTTAGCAGTATTCCCTAATTAAATTGACAAATGAATAACGCCAGTACATTTCTAGATTTTTGAAATATTCAATAAACACACATACATCAATATTATTCTTCATATGAATTATCTTCAAATATCTTATATTTATATAAATAAATCTTACAATTCTTTAGACATTTACGAGATTTTATAATTTCATTTGACATTTTACTTCGAATCAGTTTTAGTTTTAGCCTAAATGTAATTTTAAACAATTCTAATACCGGGCTTCAATTTTTAATCATAAAATATATACTTTCGATTTTAATAATATCTTGCCCCTGTATATCATACTTTTCCCGCTAACAAACCAGTCACACCGGTCAATTATCTAACTCGGTTCAGGGAAAAATATTTGAATCGAAATAACGCGTTTGTATACAGCTAATCGAAAACCAAAAAGTACAAATTAAATTATATACACTCTGTTTTAAAAGATATTTATTTCTTTTTATTATTACCTGTAAATACACAAGTACATATATTAAGAAAAATTTATAAATGTAATTTTTTTTTAATTTAAGAAAATCGGTTTTTTCTTTCACAACAAATCCAATTAAACTTTGAAAAGATCCAAAGAATGAAGAAAGAAGCTTTCTTAATAAATAAAATTGCAGGATCGCTGTACTTTTCGACGTAAAAATTATCGTTATTCTTAAGTCTTGTGTCGTTATTATACAATTAATTATCATGTTGATTTTCATAATTAATCATTTAAAATTTTGAGTTAACTAAATTTTAGTCACTTTCTTCACTCTTATCTGAAAAAGTAACGATAAAATTTTATAAGTATTTATTTGCAGAAATTTATTATTCAAATTTGAAAAGTTTAAAAGTTTATTGCTTTTTAAAGGCGATTTAAGAATTATTTTTAATTTTTTGTTATAAATGATTCTATTCGACAGGATAAATGTAACTCAATTAACTTTTGTCACGTAAATGTAGTATAAAACATAAAAATCCTCGACATACCTTTATAATTATCAATCATTTTACTTAGACGATGACTTGAAACATTGTAAAATGAAGGATGGAAGTTTCTTAAAGAACTGAATGAAAACATCCATGCACTTCGTTGTTTTCTAGAAACAGTAAATGTTTTCATAAATCAAAAATAATAAAAGCAATTTCAAATATCATGAAAATATATCATCAAGTTATACTGTTTAGAGTCTATGTAGAATTTCAAATTATTCAGAATTATTCACATTTACAAAATATAAATAAATAAACAATAATTAAATAATTCAAATATAGAATAATCAAGAGTGAAATGTTTTAATTATATTAATGACTTGAAAAGCTGCTGTTTATTCCAATATGTATCAATAACAACTAAATGTCAACAATTACTTTAATTACTAAACATTTTTAAATGTAAATTAAATTACTTTAATTTTTCAATTACTAACAACAACAACAACAACATTTAAAATCAGTTTAAATGTTTATAAATTAAGAAATAAATTAAAAATATTTACTAACCTCATCATATTCTTCGCCACTTGATAAATTTTCATCGTTATAACTTTCAGTTTCTTCGAAATTAACGCTTTTCATCGTCTTTATTACTTTTCCGTTGGTGTTCTGTTTACCTTTTACATCTAAAAATAAATTTTATATTTTAAATCTTATTTTTTCTTAATTTAAATTTGCAATGCTGTTATTAAATAGAAATTAAATGATTAAAAACATATACTACAGCATGATATTAATATTTATCTTCAATTTCCAATAACATTGAATTTCAAATATTAGCAAGTAAATATAATGTAAAAACA